AAAGAGTTATTTTTTATTGTATTGTCGGCTTATATTAGCCTTTAAGAATAAAGAGCTAAAACAGATAGTTTCAGACAGCTGTAGATCATGCTAATCTCCTCCACTAGAAGACAAAAATAAAAATACAGAGTTCAAAAGGGAAAGACGGTTGTCCTTTTGCTTTTGCTGGTAGTTGTTTAGTATAGTGGGAGCAAACTGCAAATTACCTGCGCATGTCTTTCCGTCATCGTTCACAGTGTATCCGGGCAGACAGAGGCAGTGGTAGGATCCAGGAGTGCTCTCACAGATGTGCTCACAGCCGTGGTCTGACTCCAGACACAGATCCACGCCTGTGTCAGATCAGCATTCAGCAAACCAGCTTCAATATATTTAACTTACAGCTTATTATCACAAAATCAAAATCATATTCCCAACGACTTTGTGTTTTTTCTGTAGAAAGGAATTATCGGTGCCCCTGAAGGAAAACTGTGAAATGAAAAGCACTGAGAACCAACACTAATCAAAGAAAAACACTTCATGAGAAAACATCTTCACCAGGACTCGTCTGCAGTCACGACACAATCTCTACAGCTTCATCTGCAAAGCATGATGGGATTAGTGGTTTTAGCCCTGCTGTCACCTCTTAGCTACAGGACTCTTCATTTTCACTGAGAGCTTATTTTATTTCACTGATTTACTTTTTGTATTTATTTTATCCGTCTGCATTTTGCATCTCCCACTGCAGGAGACCAGACTGTTTTTTTTAGCTGTAGTCCAGTGTTGAATAATAGCAGCATGAGGAAATATCGAGCACTTAAGGGATTTGCAGAGGTTGTTATGAAAAAGTATTAGGTTATGTGCGGTCAGAAGGATTTTGTAATTTTTTTTAACTCGAGCTAGACGTTGTGTTTTTAATTACATAAAAAATCTATGTTGGCCAATGTCATGAAATTTTAATCGCACAGTTTTATCTGAAGATTTTTGCTGCTCTTACATTAAGATGACTTTAAATAAAAATGATCCAGTAATACAAAATCTTTTAGATGGAGATTTTAGAGAAACACAACTTCCAAATCCTTAAAGAGTGGAAAGTTTTTACATTCCAGTAAGATTTTGCACTCACACGAATCTTAAAACTTACTAGTTACACAACTCATCTTAACTGACTCCAGCTCAGGGTAAATGGTTTTTTTTTTGCTGATTAAAAGCTGAATTTTTTTTTAAATGAACTCATAGTTGTCATTCTTCTCAGGTACAATAACATTTTGTTTGGAAATAAAAACATAGTATGCTACATAAGTGGTAACATCTAAATATACTACAGAATATAACACAAGTGTTAGAAATAAAAAGCACCACATATAGTAATAGCAGTTACTTGTATACTTTGTATTTCCTGTCCTGCAGTCTTACCGCAGAGCTTATCCTGGAACTGGATGCCAAACTGGTGAATGAGATCAAAGGACTCAACCAGGAAGACGTGGTCCTCAAAGGGCGGTGACGCCATGGCCCTCAGTGATGTCATATCTGCCCTGGCCACGCCCACAGCATAGATCTCAATGCCTTTTTCTCTCGCCTCAGCGGCCACCTCAGCCACGCGGTCCTGAGGACGTCCGTCTGTCACGATCACGGCCACGTTTGGAACCTGAAGCCATCGGCAGAACCAACCAGAGACAGCTGTTATTGACGTCCCCTCCATCTTTGTTTTCTTAGCCCATAAATTCAGAAACATTTTATTGTTTTAATTTTTTTATTAGATCGACAGACGGATTGGGGCTGCAGCTGCAGTAATGCGGACGCTGCACCGGTCCGTCGTGGTGAAGAGGGAGCTGAGTGTAAAAGCGAAGCTCTCAATTTACCGGTCGATCTACGTCCCTACCCTCACCTATGATGACGAGCTGTGGGTAGTGACCGAAAGAACGAGATCGCGGATACAAGCGGCAGAAATTAGCTTCGTACGAAGGGTGGCTGGCCTCTCCCTTAGAGATAGGGTGAGAGGTTCGGCCATCTGGGAGGTGCTCAGAGTAGAGCCGCTGCTGCTCCACATCGAAAGGAGCCAGCTGAGGTGGTTCAGGCATCTGACAAGGATGCCCCCTGGGCGCCTCCTGGGTGAGGTGTTCCGGGCATGTCCCACCGGGAGGAGGCCCCAGGGCAGACCCAGGACACGCTGGAGAGATTATATCTCTCGGCTGGCCTGGGAACACCTTGGTATTCCCCCGGATAAGCTGGAGGAGGTGGCTGGGCAGAGAGAGGTCTGGGCCTCTCTGCTTAGGCTGCTGCCCCCGCGACCCGGCCTCGGATAAAGCGGATGAAGATGGATGGATGGAATGTTTTTTATTATCCCAGCTTCATCAGGTAGAGTTTGGCCAGCCAGGGCCTCAGCTCTTGACTGCTGTCCAATCCACACTGCACTAGACCCTCACAAAGCCTCCAGCATTTCATCTACACTTTTTTTAAATTCCTTTATGCCTTTTGTGTCCTTGGCATGTCCTCCTAGGAGGCCTAGGACACAATGGAGAGATTATATCTCTTGGCTGACTTGGGAATGCTTTGGTGTCCCCCCCAGAGGACCTGGATGAGGTTTAGACTTAGACTGCTGCCCCCATGACCCTGACAGGAATGTCTGTATGTATGCATAGTTCCACTCAAAGTTCTGCTATAACAAGCTTCTACAAAATAGGTGATGATATTTATTTCTGTGATGATTTAAATACAGATAATTAAAAAAGAAAAGTAAAGATTTAAAATGAAAATGCCTGAAACCACCAGCACAACTAAAGGAAACGGTTACAAAATGGTTCATTGTGTATAAGACATCCAATAAGTACCTTTGGCCTGTCTCCAGCCTCTGGAGTAAAAGCTTCATTCATCATGTATCTGATGGCGAGTCCGGTCATGGTACCCTGAGCGAGGGGGATGATCTGATTGATGGCTTTCACTATGTTGCTCAGCCTGGCGTGAGTCTTCAGAGTGAACTCAGTGCGGACCTGAAAGCAGTGAAGAATTCAAAGATTAAAACATCATCTTAAGACCAGTTAGTGATGAGAAGGGTTAGCTGTCAAGATGGTAAATGGCCTGTATTTGTATAGCACTTTATTTAGTCCCTAAGGACCCCAAAGCGCTTTACACGTTCAGTCATGCACCCATTCACACACACATTCACACACTGGGGATGGCAGCTACATTGTAGCCACCCTGGGGCGCACTGACAGAGATGAAGGAGTACAACATGAAAGGAGGTCTGGGTCCTGTCTGGTTACTCTACCTGACTGGAATACTGAACAACTCCCACTCTGGTGGCATTTAGTCCAATATCCAGGGTGTTAATGATGTCAATCATAAACTTCCTCATGGTCTCAAACTCATGTGGCCTAACGCTGCGGGAGCTGTCGATGAGGAAGACTAGATCCACCGGACCAGTCTTACATTTCTGCGCAGGTTCTGGAAGAAAGAAGAAAAGCAGAATCTGTTCAAACGAGATGTTTCAACAATGGGGAAAAAAATTCAAGAAGAAGTCAGCAATCCTCTGACCTCAAAAGCTCCAAATTTAAATTTGGTGAGATCCCAGAAAACATGAAACATGGGGATTTTTATTGTGTCGTTACACAAATTATTCCCCAACAAATGCTTTGTTCCTGTTTGAGTGATGTTCACCGCTGTGTCCAGCTCAGGAAGCTGCTGAGCCTTTTTTAAAATATTTTTGTAGTCTGTGTTTAATGAATTTCAGTGGGACGCAGTGGACTGTTTCACTTTCAGTAGCCGGAGAAGCCAAGTGTGATTTCGACACATGAAACACAGACGTGGCCTCTGAATGATGGAGGAGACTCACAGGCCCTGAGAAGGTGTCGTGTGTCGTGTGAAAGGATCAGAGCTGTTATGGTGCTCTGAGGAAAACCTAAACAATTTTACTGTTGTGACTGATCAGTAGGATAAAAGGCTGCTTCTCTCTTACTCGACTTTCTTTTTAAATTGTGTGGATTCTACTCTCTCTCTGAAGCACGACAGCAGCAGCCTTCCTCAAACATCGGTACAGCGTTCACATTATTTACCACCTGAGCGCTGCTTCTCAGTGGCGTCAGCCGCCACAGGACACCTGTTTTTGTCTTTATATTTTTCGGACGCGCTCCCATGTTGTAACATCATCTAGGTTCAAAAACGCTGCCGTCATGAATGAAGTATGAGGTTGGCTTGTGTTTGTGGTGTGGCTTTACGAGTTGGAAAGAAACCGTTTGATTAATGCCCATCCAGAATTTCTTCAGACAAAGTGAAAGTCACAACAGACGAGACTCAGTGTCAGAATAAGCAGACGTGTGGGACCGATGGAATCCATCTTTAGGTTCAAATAGACGTCAACAGTAGCCAATTTTTAACGCCTTATAAACACGTCCACTGCATTGTCTGGTCACATAAATCAAGTCAGCCGCAGATGTAATGTATATGTGTCAGGGATGTGTCCTGAAACATTCGTGCCTTTCACAGAAGTCATAATTCACACGCTTGTATAAAGAGTCCTATTCAGTGACCTGCGGTGGCAACATTTACAGGTTATAACTTTTCTAAAAAAGTCCTCAGCCCTTCTTTTTACATTTTCTATCTAAATTTGGGTCTTTGCCATTTCTTAGTCCTAATTTGGTCAATTAAATTAAACCGTGACTCCAAAAGTTAAAGATAAAAACAGTTTTGAACTCAATAGAGCTACACGCATGTCACTGTGTGTTCATAGTTAGCTAACATGATCTCAGTCATCACAAACACCTTATATTAGACATTTTAAATGTAAATTATAATGTTTTCCTCCTTTTCGAGGACACATTTACATTTAATATCAAACATGTTGAAAGCTTAAACAACAAAGACTTTAAATGGGTACGTCCCTGTGAGCCAAAAGTTCAACAAGGACACCACCAAGGATTATTTTGAACTGTTCATGCAAAGCTACCCTTAAAGTGAAAAACATCTGGCTCTGGTAAAGGTGTAATTGTTCTGTCAAATGGTTGTTTAAACCATTGTTTACAGTTATCGACTCTCTGCAATCCACTGAAAGCATCTGATTTAAAATCATAGCTTTCTTATTTAGGCTTTGGTTTGTCTTTGTGCCGTGACTCTGTGTTTCTATTGTGATCCAAACCCACTTTAGCTCCCTGTTCTTTTGATCATCTAAATGCCCAGCATTAAACATTTATCTCCCATTTTTCCCGACTTCCTTTTCTTTCATTTGTTCTCTTAAAATTAAATTATGCCCTCATTTATATAACCTGTTTAGGAAGAGAAACATCTTTATTTATTTTTTAAAAGAATTTTTCAGTAATTCTCACAGTATCTGCACACTGACCTGTTTTTGGTCTGGCTGTTGCGAGGACAGCCAGGGTCAACAGGATGAATGCGCTCAGTTGTCTCATCTTCATCCAAATGATATCGATCTAGCAGACGGGTCGCTCGCAGCTGGGCTCAGATAAATTGGAACAGGATCAAACTGTGAAGAAAAGACGAGCAAGATAGTGCCCGCTTTGAGACTCGGTCACATACTGCAATGCTGTCATAAAGCTTTAATGTCTGCAGATGGAAGAGGTTAGGATGGACAGATTAGTCTGCAAGACATCAAACTTGGACACAGGAGATCACTCTTTCCTTCTTTCTCATGCTGACGATCCTCGAACAGGCACGAGCCTCATCAAGCAGCACCGAGCACACAGACCACAGCACATACCTCGATTCTTATCTAATCCTTCAAAGTTATTTGTGTCTAATATGTGTGCCTAAACACACACAAATTAGAAATTACCTCTGGAAGACATTCCTAGATCACATCAGACACACTTAATCATTCTTGAGAGCAACTGAAGTGCTTTGTCCTTTGAGCTTTGTCCTCATTAATACCAAACCTACGATTCAGGCCTGACACATCTGTATGACGACGACTGTGACAGATTTTTGAATAATGTGAATTTAATTGTGAATGGATGTCTCAATTAAAAACCACCTCCAGCTGTGTGGCTCACCATGTTACTTGTATTAGCAGCTGTTGGTCATGTAGATACGTTCTGGATTTTATTACACTATTACTGAATACATACACAACAGGAATGTGCTTTCAGGGGTTCTAATGATGAGAGAGATTATTTCTGAACCACTGCCATGATGCGTACTTGGATGGAGCTTTAAATGGAAGCAGAAGCAACAAAAAAAAAAAAATCACTGGCATCTTCAGTGTTTTCATTAAGAATACAGTAACTGTCTTATACCTTATATTTTGGAACATATTCTCCACTCACACAACTGAAAAATGTTTAATCTCTTGAAGCTCATCAGAGTGATCTGTAAAGTGTTAATGATGACAATGGCAGTGAAACATTCCAGTCCTGTCCCTTCATAAAACACTCAGCGTAACACACCTGGATGAGGTGCACAGCAGTACCTGCTAACAGAAGGCTGCAGGCAGACACAGAGACCCTAATGTGTCTGCAGGCAAGCAGCTCCAGCAGCAGCAGCAGCAGGAGGGGGATAATGATAAAGTCTGGGACGTGTTTATGTTTGAGGCACTGGGTCAATTCAAACAGGCAGCATGAAAGCCACCTCTCTTTCATTTAGGCCCACAGAGAGGGGTCCTTCGGGGGTTTATCGCTGTCTGACTGGCTGCCAGAGACTGCGGTCATCACTGGCTCAGATCAGAGTAATGAGTCAACAGACGTAGCCGAGCACAAAGGCTCTTTTTTCAGTTTGTGTCTCTGTTTGTCTCGTTGCCTTTCCCTCCGTCTCCTCGCCCACTTTCTCTCGTCTCTTTCACTCTCGTCCACATATTTTCACGAGCGTCTCTGCCGCGAAAGTTCAGCCAAACACTTGGAGCACATTTTTCTTGCTTTTATGTTTTCAAGGTTAGCTGGTGGTTATGTCTTTATCATTTTGTCACTGACCTGTGCAGAGCGCATCAATCATCATAGCTTCGGCCCCTCGTATTACACAGATCTCGATTCCTTCTACCTTCAAACAAAGATTATCAAAAGCAATGTTATTTTTCTAATTACTGAAAAATATTCAGTCCATTGTTACAAGTGTGTGAATAAAATGAAGGTGGTTGTTATTGAAGTTCAGGGTGTATCAGACTACAGTCAGATTGTTCCCACTTACACAATATTAGATCCAGATCCTGACACGGTGAAATCCTAATCAGGGCCCTGGTAGTAATTTTAGTGAGCGTGACAAATGTGCACTACTCATGTCACATAGTGAGGCCTCTGCTGTGACGTGACTGAGTTCATGTAGGAAAATGTTTCAAGAAAATGTATTTTTTATGGTTTTTATGTAAGGGGACCTACTATGTTATTTTCCACCTCCACATTTCATACTTTATTAGCTTATACTAGGCCTGGGTGGCCCCAGTTTCTCTCCCTTTAAAGGCCCCAGTACACCCGCTGCACTGGTCGCTTCACCTCCCACCAGTAATGTCACCGCACAGCCACTTGTTTTTGTGCTCACCCCGACCTCACAGGTCACCGCTGCAGTTTTCTCCTGAACAAGAAGTAACGCCACATCATGTGACTATATTAGAGATAACTGCTTCCTGTGACATCATACAGATCCAAGAGTAGAACAAACTGTCAGAAACTTTGTGTTTCCAGGAGTCTGAAGCCTGAACTTTGGCTCATGTGTGATTGAAGCATGTAACACTGTAACAGTGCACACCTGCCCACTTTAGGTTCCACTGAAGCACCAAAGTTTAAAGATTTTTTAAGGCATGAACTGATTTCAGGGTCTGTAAGTGTGTGTGTGTGTGTCTGTGTATTCATATCTTTGTGGGTATAGTATAGTATAGTAATCTTCCAAAAATTGGAAGATTACTATACTTGTGAGGACGAACAGCCCTTTTGGGACCAAAAGTTAAAATTAGGTTATGGTTACGGTTAGGATTAGGCATTAATTTTTCATGGTTAGGGTAAGGGGCTAGGGAACAAGGTTTTAATAGTTTTCATTAGTTTTTATTTTTATTTAGTTTTGACTTCAGATTTTCAATTTTATATCAATTTTAATTAGTTTTTACCAATTGTTTGCTAGTTTAGTTTTTTTTTTAATCCTTAGTTTCAGTTTAGTTTTGATTAG